TTGTTTTATATATAAATTATACATAAACCTGCTACTGAGTGCTGTTGTTGTATATATGGTCTCCTTCCTAAATGTGAAATCACTCAAATTAAACGTCTTGAACTTTACGTTGCTCGACTTCTCTCTGATCACGCTACATTCTTATCCAACTGTCTTTTCATATTTTTAAATTATTCCTTTTATTCAACGACAACAATACTTCCTGCTTAAAGCCCTCTGTTATGACATCGTTTGATCTCCTGGCCACCCTCTTCATTTTTTTTCTCCCCCTGCCCGTTCTATGTAAGTGACCCTTCGCCACAACCGTTACTCTGCTTTTCTTCTCTTCCGTGGACACACTACTCGGTTCTTGCATTCAACTCTACCTCACTCAAATTCGCTCGCGTCTTCTGTTCATCTCGATCTTTCTTATTCTAAGAAAAATGCTATCAGAGAAGTCCTTAAATGTAAAGACCTTTTGTCAATATTTGGTGGGGTGTATGCGGGTGGTCACTAGTACCTTAGTGGAGTAACGTCCCTACCCCGGGATGCATAGTTTGATTAGGTTGGCTTATGCGGCTCATTAAGACCTTAGCGTAGTGACGTCCCTATCCTATAATGCATAAATAATTATTATTATGCTCTGTTAAGAGTGTTTTCAACTTGTCTCCTTTTGTCATGTCTTTTTTATTGTGCGGATATTGGCCCATTGATGGCATTTGAATTGAAATGATAGTAATACGTGAATTTAAAAAATTGGGTTAGTCAGGCCATGGAGTTATAATCATTTTATAACTCCATGGTCAGACACACACTTTAATTAATGTTAATGAACAGATTATTAGTGAAGCAAAACTGGATTTATGCATCTCTTTGTAAACTATGAATGTACAAATATTTTACTTCCTGGTCTCAGTTTGTAATCGCAGATGAGTGGTTCTGGTTTTAAACTACTCAAAATTAAGTGCCATGTTTATGTTTAATATACAGTAGTAAAATTCATCATCATCACATCACCAGGCAAAATAAAGCGTCAACAAATTTCTCATGATCTCTTATTAACGATTTTCGGCAAGCATAGAGATCTCTCTTATTAACGATTTTCGCAAACATGTAAAATTAATCATCATTGATCGTATGTTTCTTTGTTGTTTATGTACTTTTGTTGCCATGAGAAAAACTAATTTCATATTAACGTTTCCGATCCTCGTAGCGCTAGTCACGTGATGCAATTTCGACTAATCACGTACTCGTATTTTGGCTATGTAATATAAGAAAATATTAAATGGTTCCGTTATTTTATAGAGTAATTCTTAAACAGCCAATGTATAAAGTACGGTAACTATGCTAGCCGTTTATCTGTTGAAAATTGTTAGCCTTGTTTGAATTTAGTACTGATAAATATTTTGCCTAGTATTTTTGTCCAGACTAAATGAGATATTATGAATAAAACATTTAAATGGTTGCTGAGAAAATTTAATTTTTACAGATATGATGAGTTACAGGTTATGATAATTGTTTTCGGTCATTTCCTTCTATTATATTTAACATAAACATGGCACTTAATTCTGAGTAGTTTAAAACCAGAACCACTCTACATAGGCTATGTAATGTATAACAGATATTGTGTAAAAGTTAAATAAAAGTTCTTAATATTTTAATTAAGTAATGTGTTCAGTTAATTATTTGCATCTATTTCTGGCTATGTAATATAACAGATATTGCCTTTTCTATCGGTGTAATAATAACATTTGATATCCCCTTGGGAATTATATTTTTTCTCAGGACTATATTTTCCCTCAGCGCTACGCGCTTCGGGAAAATATATTCCCTCGAAAAAAAATATAATTCCCTCAGGGATATCAAATGTTATATTACACCTCTAAGCAGGCAATATCTGTATAATACTTCACTCATGCCTTTTAATGAGACATTTCGAGCATGTGCTTAGATATATATAGGTCTATATATATGTTTGTATTGTAAATAAATTGACACCTACAAGATGTTCATTTGCTGTAACACTATTAACATTGCCATAAATTATCGTTTACGTCATTGCTATCCCAATTATCATTAACATAACTTTCCATCATTATAAACCATCATAATCATTATCGATCACAGTTTTGATCATCATCATCCTCCATCGCCATCAACCCTATTATCATTCCACATCATCATAATCATTTTCCATTATAATCATAGCTTTTATTATAATAATTATCATCATCATCATTTTTATGGACATAAGAATAAGTTACTGTAGAATTAACACTAATTTATAGCAATAATTTGGAATGCAACAATAGTTTTATTATTATGTCCCCAATATGTCATGAATTATTGTCAATGATAAAGTATTCTTTTTGTTTTTCTTAAATATTGAGCTTTCTATTGAATGAATGTAGGATGGATAGAGTAACGGCTTAGACTAATGTATGGTATGGATTATAATGCTAAATAAAAGTAACAGAAAAACAAACAAAATAAATCCTCGTTGTAAAAAGTATGTAGTAGGCTCTACCGATGTTCACTATAAGGATTATGAGGGAAAACACTCCGATTTATTGCTCAAAGGGTCACAAAATATAAACCATTATCCTTAACATACCGTATTCATAATGAATGAATGTCGTCAAATCATCATCATCATCACCACCACAACCACCAGCACCACCATTGATATAATCCAGTTCCATCATACCTTTCTGTCATTGTGTTCTTTTTTGTCTATTATCAAGGTAATTTACTATCATCATTATATC